AGGCACCACAGGCCGTCTCACAAACCTTGAATTCCATACAACTCCTCCAACATTTCTTTCTTTTCTTTAAAGTATTTGGCCCGTAGACATTAATTAACACCTAAGTGAATCCATCCACCACTTTTTTTAATTTTAAAGACACAGAGAATCTCCCTATGAGTTCTTCCATGATATTACAACATCCTCCCTCCAAAGAGTAACTAACCCTCCTAAGGCTCCCCATGAGGGAGATGAAGTCCAGCAAACTCCTCTTGATTTCCACACACTTCCGACCCATCTTCTATCCAATTCTGCCAACTTGATCTCCCATAACATGACTATATCAGGTCTCTATTCTCAATATGTCTTTAATTGCCCTTCTTTTTCTTGCACTCCCTAAACCTCTCACATTCCAACTGATGATTTTCATTGTGAGACTCCTTTCAAACACCCCTTTCTAAAATGGTTCCACCTTATGAAGAACCCTTCCTTCTTTCTCCTCTTCCACTGAACTCGATATCACCCTCTATATCTGAGATTAGTCTTTCCACTTCTGATCTCTTTTTTTTTTTTGCTTCTGATCTCTTTTTCTTTTTCCATTTTGTATTCCCCTCTGTCTTCTTAGCTGACACACTGACTTCACCCACCTCACCCCCCCAACCAAAAACTTTTGTGACGGTCCTTGTTCTAAAGAGTTGCTTCTTGTTCCCTAACATCTAAACCCACCTCCTTTTCTCCTCCAGTAATGCACAAATCTGCTCCCATTTTCTTTTTAATTCTTTCTCCCGTTTTTTCTTTAAGTTCCACCTCTACCTCACTCCGCTCACCTTCACCTAAGGTTTCCTCTCGGGATGCTGGAGTATCTGTTTCAAGCACAGGAAGCACCGAAACCAAATAGACACAATTACCTACATTGTTGGGGACCAGGTGAACTTCTTTCGAGGGAGGGGGACCGGCGTAGAAAGGAAAGTCTAATCTTGTTTCCTATGTTTGGTTCTGCCTAGGAAATTTTCCGGTAGAAGTCAACAACTTGTCAGCTTTAGCAACCAAGTTAGTCCTCCATTGTTGTCCGGCTTCAGGCAATACATTATAGACCATTCCATTAGAGTCTTTCCCTTTCAAACCAAAAACTTGTTCTTCCCGGCTAGGGGGCTAATCTCCCTTGTGGGTAAGGGCAGAACCTGAGCCTCAATCGTAGTTTCCATATGTCATTCCATCGTATTCACCTGAACTTCCTCAAAACTTTGAGAACCAGCTTCCTCATCCTCCTGAAACAATATTTCCGTTCCGAAGTTATCTTGCTCAGTGATGTCCTTCAATTTGCTTAAATCGATGCTCCCCAGGCTAATCTCCCTAGCCTTCCATCCTATTCACCTGAACTTCCTTAAAACTTGTCTGATGATAATTTGTTTAGCCTTGCTGCCGCAATCCATTGCAACGAGCCTCCAGTAGAAGAAGAGGTCGAAGTAGCTTAAATAGAGAGAGAGGTAGTTATGCAATTACCCCTCATTTAGTCTTGACACTTAAAGAGAGGCAAACTCACGTATGGGACACCTCACTTAGTCTTGATAGTTTCAGCTAACCCACTAGCCAACCCATCTATTTGGGTTATAAACTATTTTCAATTTATTGGGCTTGTTTAAAAATTTCTTTCAACAAATGCCTTTCCACACAAAGCTATCATAGGAGGGAAGGGAATCACTAGACTTCCAATCACCATTAGAAACCACAAATTTAGCAGCAATAAGCAGCCTCCACCACCCAGTGTTTTAAAAGCGCAAGGCGCAAAAAAAGTGCAAGGGCCAATTTGCACCTGAGGCACAAGGCAAGGCGCACGCCTTTTTAAGAAAGGCGCAAAATTACAAAAGGAAAAGCTAAAAGATCAAAAAAAAGTCAGAAAATTCAAAGAAATGCCAAAAATTCAAAAAATTATTAAACATAATGTTAATAAAAATATAAACTTAAATTTTAAAATAAATGATTTAAAAAACCTATTATCTAAAATTAAAACACATAAACATAACATGTATAAGTGTATTGAAATGAAAATTTAAAAATAAAAGCAAACATATAAAGCATTTTCAAGCATGAAAAACCTGGAATCTCTTTTTTTTCCTTAATTGCATTGCTTCAAGTAGTTAATGTGATGTAAAACATATTGCAGTCTTGATTCTATGAGTCGCCTTTGTACCACGCCCCTCGAGACAAGTCCAAGAACCCCCTATTTGCTAATGTTGCTTATTCATTCATTGCAATATAATATCTTCTTAAAAGGCAATGAAAGTTATAAAATCATTATTTTTTATGTGAGAAATAAGAATTTCAGACCCTAACATAGACTTATTCGGGCTTGCCTCGAGGGACGTGGTCAGGGGTCCGGGGGCAGAGCCCCTGGCCTAGCCATTAGACTAAAAAAAAAAGCAAAAAACACAATTTTAAAAAGGCGCACGCCGAGGCACACTAGGCGTGCGCCTTTTGAAAGGGTTGCGCCCGCCGAGGCACACTAGGCGTGCGCCTTTTGAAAGGGTTGCGCCTAGGACCTGGGTGAGGCGCATACCCCAAAATGCGCCTTGCCTGTGTGCCTAGGCATGCCTGAGGCGTGCCTTTTAAATCACTACCACCACCCCCCTCCTTCAGCCCCAAATCTCTGCAACCACTTACAATTACAAAGAAGAGCCACATAAAAATATCAAATCTTCTTTATGCCACTTGATCCCAGTTCACAATATGAAATTTTTTATCCTCATGCCAACCTCTCCAAAGGGATAGGGAAGAGGGGAAAAAATAAAGTTGGAAGACTACATAAAGTGCTCTTTATCTTAAGGTAATTGTTCCACCCACAAGAAGATACTTAACCTTCCAAAAGAATAGCCTTTTCTCCATCCTCTCAAGCACTGGATTCAAATGGAAGAGGAAAAACATTTGGCTCCCAAAGATAGACCGAGATCTTTTATGGGAAGAAACTCCACTCCACAAGCAATAACTTCAGCTAAGCCATCCACATCCTCCACCCATCCAAAAGGAATTAAAGAGCTTTTTCCCATGTCCACCTTTACTCCAGTGACCACCTCAAACCACATTAGACACTCCATAATAATAGAATCTGAGAATGATCCGACCCCAAAAAGAAAACGGTATCATCTGCAAAGTGCAAAATGAAGAACTTGGACCTTATTCCCTGATGGAGTCACAGTGAAACCATCCAACCTACCCCCAATAGCCACCCCCTTAATAAGGTCAATACCTCTATCACACAATGACAAATAAATAATAGTGGGGAGACAGGGTCCTGCCTAATTCCCTTCGATCTTTTGAAAGATCCAGTTGACTACCCTTTTGTTATAATAGAATATAATCTAAATATCTCCAGTTAACATTGTCATAAGCTTTTTCATCCACTTTACACACCAAGCCCAGTCCGCCCTCCCTATTTCTATAGTCAATTAATTCTTTTGTTATCAGCACACTGTCCAACATTTGCCTCCCAGACATGAATGCATTTTGCTCTTTAGAAATGATTGAACTTAGCACTTTCTTCATTCTTTGGGCTAGCACCTCAACAATAATTTTATAATAACTATTCACCAAGCTGATGTGCCTGAAGTCCTTCAAATGTCAGCACTGTTTTAGAGCAAAAGTTCCCAAACAATAAAACAAAGGTAAGACATAACAAATGGATTTACAAAAGGAGGTAAGGTAAAGGCAATTAAATGGGAACAAAACATGGACAAGCTCCTACATGTAGGATCTGCTTCTGAATAGATGCTCGGTGTTCTTCAATACAAATGGTATTCTCTTTTACTGATTGCTACAGCTCCGATTTAAACTTATATTTGATTTCAAACACAAAGCTCATGGACATTTTTTCTTTGTTCCACCTTTGTAATTCTAATGATTAGAAAGGTTCACTAGCATAGAACTGTAAAAACATTCCTATAGACGAAAAGATTCACTATACACTCCACCTTGGTTAATCCCCTATTTAGCTAATCCATAAGCAAGAGAACTCTCTCCCTGCGAATTCACCCAAAAAGAAGAGAGAGAAACATGGAAGATATATTTTTCCGTTAAAAATATTGATAGTCACCATGATCTTCTAAAACCATACACCAGCTTCTTCAATATCAAGAAACTGTGCAACTTCAAACTGGTTCCTGCTATCCCAAAACATAATCAAACTGAATTCTAATGGATGCAGTGTGGGAAACCCAAAGGAATCTTGTAGAGGAAGCTTGTAGAAATAGGCACAGTAATATTTTGAAGATATTTAAGGACCAATTGGCTAAAGGCAACTCTATAAGGGCAGAATTACTAGCCTATTACAAGGTTTGACATTGCGAAGTCCACTCAGTTATAGAAATATTGAAGTGGGAGGTGATTGTAGAGTGACAGTAGGCTGGTTTCAAAATAATAGATCAGGCATGTGACAGCAGAGAGAGATCATAAAGCAACTAAGAGTGACATTCTTCTGGTTGCAAAGATCAGCAAACAGTTTGGATGATAAATTGGCTAGACAATGGGTGCAAAGAAACCCTTTTTTTTAATAAAGTATAATAAAATTACAAAGGTCTTCCTGTACAATGAGGTTCTACATATCCACAGATAAAAGAGAAGATAATTCATCCTCCCTGAAATGTTTTAGAGGTCAGCCATTTAGTTGCATTTACAAATAGTGTGGTCAATTTATTAAATGTTCCCTCTTGGTTGTTTCAGGTTCACAGAGGATATCTCAGATGCTTTTCTTAAACTTTTTTATGACCAATATCAGAACCTTGAATACAAGAGGGTAGTAGAGTAAATTCAAGAATTTAATAAGGATACTCTAGGTTCTTTGTTTTTTATTTGTAAGGTTTCCCTAGGTTCACAGAGGAATTCTCAGATTTTCTCAAAACAGATCTTGATTTAGAAATTCCAAATGATCAATAGAATGGGATCATAACAATAAACAAAAGTAGAAGGGAAGGGAAAAAATCAGAAAACCATGGTCTTAGCAAAAGTAATTTGTATGATAATTTCAATACATCATTATGGTTGCTGCCCTTTTGGAAATTAGTAGTAAGAGTTGGTTCTTTATCCTTCTCAACAGAGGCTTTGACCATTCTCTCCCTTTCAGCACGTTGGAAAGCTGGAGGTTCTGATCCACCCTGAAGCCCTCCTGAAAGCTTAATGAACTGCAATACCAACACAAGCATGAAATATGACTTGCAGAAAACTCATAGCAACAGTTGATAACAAGAAAAAGGTCCAAGAAGTACATCATCATAACAAGCACTGCAAAGTCCATGAGCAAAATGAGGCTCTGAGCTACCCTTATGTTTGCAAAGCAATTCCATTGTCCCAGACATTTTAGACCCCAATGTTGCTGGTTGCCTTAAGCAAGGTTGTGCTTCAAGCTCTTCTGCCTTCTTGTTGAACTCCTCAATCTAGTAGAGGAAAAGAAAGTTGTCAAACCCTTATTCCCATAACAGGGATATCACGGTTATGTAAAAAACACATAAAACAAGGATAGATACTATAAATTGCTCTACAACCAAAATATTTAGTTGATGCTTATGTAGCCAGACATCCTGAGGATGAAGTAAATTGTGATATACTAGAACAGTAGCTTTGTAGTCGAGTTGATATTGGACTAAAACTCTTAAAGATGCAAAATTAACAAGAAAAGGTGGTAGCAAATTGAAAACAACCCTAGCAGTACATAGTAGAAATGTTAGACAAAGCACCAGAAGATGCTAATTCAGTTAATTCAGTCCCTAACTTTTTTTCTTAATATCAGTAATATATATACTAATTATTGTTTTCTATATGCATGCTTTTACAGATATTCAGTTAAAGATAGTTCATCTTTCTACAGTAAACGTATGGGTCTGTTGTTAGTAACGAGGGTGTAAGGATAATGCTGTGATTCTGGTCTGCAGTTATTATAATAAAAGAGTGGGTTGACCAATGTGATAGCCCTCTTCTCCTCTACGTTTCTTTTTATTATTCTCTATGCACTTTTCTTTGATTCTGCATCTCCTATTTATTTTTCTATCCTATTGCAGGTTATTTAAGAAAGTGCTATTACATATATAAATATAAGCCAATAATGTTTTTCACCATATCCAATTGATTTTCTATGTATTTGGTTGGGAAGAACCCCAATCCCAAAAGAAAAAAATCCTAGAACCTGAGGTGAAAGGTTGAGTAAGAGAGCTGATCAGGTGCTTAGAGTTCGATTCATTTGACCACAAAATCTTGGGATATGAGAAATTGACTAAAATTAATCTACCAGCTAGTATTAATATATCGACACATTATACATAGAAAAAAATAAATATACCAGATTGTAACACGAGAGTTTAAAACCCACATAGCCTGAGAGTGGCCACTTGAAAATGCTGAAGCCTAAGTCTATATCCAGTCCACCCCTCCCAAAACCACCAAACAGCAAGGACCAATTTAACGAGGCATTCCTGGTTAAGAATTCTATAGTTTGAGCTACAATTTCTAATTTTAATATTTATTATTTTAATTATATAAGTTAATCATTTATATTGGGTGAATGTCCAATGGATCTGTATCCGCTAGAGTTCAGTGGTGCAGACCTAGTGTTGGGGGTCCAATGGTTATGGGAATTAGGCCCAGCCTCCTAGATATATGCAATGAGAGCCGGTTGACAATGGACCGTCTTGGATGGTGAAACATGCCACTTAAATGAACCGAGGTCCACTCCACCACAGACCTTGAGGTTGAACACCTTTTTAAAAGATTGCCAACAGCCCAAACAGCATGTCTTTATGCGGTTGAGTCTAGAACCTACTACACCTGTTCTCACAAGCCACTGCATGGACATTGGCCAAGCCAGAATCAAGACTCCTAACAAGAATTACTACAGCAATAAGATGATGTATTCACAAAGCCACAAGGGTTGCCACCAGACTGGCCTCAGGACCACAGGATTCCAATTATCCTGGTTCCCCTCCTGCCAATACCTGGCCTTATAGATATCCACATTACCAAAAGACTGAAATCAAGAAAATTGTTACTGAACTAGGTTAGGGTACCAACAGATACATGTGCACCCTGAAGATGTTCCTAAAATGGCTTTTTGCAAACACGAAGGATATTACGAATTTCTCAGAATGCCTTTTGGGCTAACAAACGCCCTATCAACATTTCAGGCAGTGGTGAGCAACATATTTCACCCCTACCTTCAATGCTTTATATTGGTATTTTTAATATGCACCCTGGAGATGTTCCTAAAATGGATTTTTGCACACATGAAGGATATTATGAATTTCTCAAAATGCCTTTTGGGCTGACAAATGCCCTATCAACATTACAGGCAGTGGTGAGCAACATATTTCACCCCTACCATTAATGCTTTAAATGATTTTTTTAATGATATTATGGTTTATAGCCCAAATTGAGCTGCCCATTTTTCTCATCTTTCCACTATCTTGGAGCTCCTTAGGAAACATCAACTCTGTGCCAAGGCCAACATTTTCAAGCCCTCAGAGGATTAAGGCAAGGAGACCCTCTTTTGCCTTTCCTTTTTACTCTAATCATTGATGTTCTTGGGAGACTAATCAAGAAGGCTGAGGATTGCCGAGGGGGTGGAGAGTGGAAAGGGATGAAGTACCAATAACCCATCTGCAATTTTCTGATGACACAATTCTCTTACATGAAGGAGGTCTATTGAGCTGGGTTAGAAATTTAAAACTGGTTGTACAAGTTTTTGAGAAGATGTCCAATTTGAAAATCAATTTTGAAAAGAGTTGCATTGCGAGAATAATTAAGGGGCAGAAGTTTTAGGATGTGTAGTTTTTCAATGGCCTATGAGGTACTTAGGCTTACCTTTGGGGGATAGTCCAAGAAATAACAACTTTTGGAATCCAGTGATAGAAAGGTTTACGAAGAAATCGGCTTCTTCAAAAAATAATTATTTATCTTTGGGTGGAAGGATTGAATTGATTAAGTCCACTTTGGCCAAATCATAGGGACAAATTGTGGGCAAAGGTAATCATTAGCATTCATGGACTTGCGACTGAAGATTGAGACTCTGAATGCAGAATAGGGCAACAAAAGCTTCTCCTTGCAAATCCATTCAACAAGTCCTAGCATTGGGAATTGTGTTAAATTTTGGGAACATGTTTGGTTCAGTAATTCACCCCTGAAGGAAAATTCCCATCTTTATTTTTATTTGCCTTGTCAATCCGGAGGGGTGAACATATTTCCTCTTTCTTGAGTCACTCCAACTATAGTTCTAGACTTGAATGGGACAGTTTCTAGAAGAGGTCTTTGTGAATCGGAAATAAGTTCTGTCTTGAATCCTTTAAAACGGGATAGTCGCGTTTGGACACCTCCTTTCAGATCATTCACATGTGCCTCTTTTTTTAGGTCCTTAATACAGCTGAGTGATAGCCTAAGATTATCTTTACGAGTTAAAGAGGTTTGGAGTAGACCCATTCCACCTAGAGTAGCTAGTTTTTGCTGGGAAGTGTACCTAGAAAGAATTAATACCTATGATTTTCTCCAGAGAAAAAGACCTCATTGGTCATTATCCCCCCACTGGTGTACTCTCCGTAAAGCCGTGGGTGAGACTTGCTTTCATTATTAAACTCTTGCCCTTTATCCTCTTCAATTTGGGATTGGTTTTCCTCCTTGTTTGGACTGGGGTGGAATCCCCAACCTTCTGTACAAAACCTGTTTTCCCCTAACTTGATCAGTTGGTTGCTGGCAAAAGAAGAGGGAGAGAACCCTTTGAAGGTGTACAAGGGTCATTGTGCGTTGGACGATTTTGGAAGAACAGAACAAAAGAATTTTCTTAGGAGTGGAGAGAAGCAAAGGTTCTTTAATTGAAATCATTACTATTAGGGTGGCCCATTGCGTAAAGTCAACTCTATGAAGATTTTTTTGTTGGGGACTTGATGAGGAAGTAGTTTGGGATTGCATGCTCTTCTTCCTCTAAGGCTATGGTTAGGCCTTTGTGGGCACCACCTAATGGAGGCTTCATAAAGGTGAATTTTGATGGTAGTGAAGGAAATATGGGTCCTTCAAGTATAGGCAGAGTATTTAGGGATAAGGAAGGTAGAGTCCTTGCTCTTTCTTCGGGTTCAATTGGGGAGGGGAACTCTGAGGGATGGAATAATGGCTGTGATGGAAGGAGTAAAAAAAGGCTAAGGAATTACTTATCCACAAGCTGGTGATTGAGGGAGGTTCCAAGTCAGTTATTAATTGGATACAAAAAGAGGAGGATACTGGCTGGTGGGACTACATCTTTCAGAAAAGGAAAATTAGAAGCCCCATACAAGACATGGAAGTCATCATACAATGAAAAGAGATGCTAATTCTTTTCCTGACTGTTTGGCTAAAGAAGGGGTGGGGAGAAATCATTTTTTTGGGAAACATTGTAAATTTTCATGTTTTGGGAGAGTTAAGAGAATTTATATCTCCCTTTTCTTTTTCTTGTAATGCTTTGTCTCTATTATTTTAATGAAATGTTTTTGTTATTGATCAAACAAAAATCTCAGTTCCACTACTTGGGCCATATCTATGCTAATGGACAAGTACAAGCCAACCTAGAAAAGATTGCTAACATGTTGAATTGGGCCAGGTCCAGCTCAGGAAAACATTTCCTGGGCTTACAAGCTCCTATAGGTGATTCATACAAGGATATGGAATTATAACTACTCCTCTTACACAATAGCTCAAGAAAGAAGCCTTTGTGTGGACGTCACAAGCCCAACAAGTTGTCAAAGATCTTAAGTAAGCAGTCACTTCACCTCCCAAAGGAATTTGTAATTGAATGTGATGCTTTAGGAAGGCCATCTCAGACCAGGCTCATTCCAAATCCAATTATGAGAAAGAGTTAATGGCCCTTGTCATGCCAATGCAAAAGTGGAGGCCCTATCTCCTAGGGCGACAGTTTGTTACAAGGATCAATCAGATGAGCCTAAGGAATTTACTAGAGCAGCATACACTCACCCCAAAACAACAAAAATGGGTATCAAAAGCTTCTAAGCTATGACTATACAGTTGAGTATAAGCCCCGATCCACGAAAAAGGTAGTTGACACTCTCTCCCAAATAAGAGAGATGGCCCACCCAGCTTATTCCCTCCTTGAGAAAGTTAAAGAGGAAACCCAAAAGGATCCAAACCTCTCCAAGCTATGTGAACTGTGGGACCCATCTACTGTCCCTAGGTACTCAGCCATTGACTCGACTCTCTTATACAAGGGATGTAAGGCCATAACTCCTGCATTAGAACACTGTTTGACCAATCAATTGGAGCATCTTTGTCTCTTTCATAGCTCCCTGGTCAAAGGCCACTCCGGCATCCTCAGAAACCATCGATTGGTAACAAACTTCCATTTGGAAGGGAATGAAGAAAAGGGTGCAAGAGTTCCTAGCCACATGCCCCATGTGCCAGTGGCAAAAATATGAAGCCATGGGACCTGCAGGACTTCTCCAGCCATTTTTTTATTGGAAACAGTAGGACTTCTCCAGCCACTGCAAGTCCCAAACCAGGTGTGCGAACAGGTGTCTATGGATTTCATCTCCAAATTACCATCATCCATGGGAAAGTCAGCGGTGATGGTACTAGTTGACCGGATGACTAAGTACAACCACTTCTTTTCCCTACCACATCCTACACTACCATTCATGTAGCACAAGTCTTTATCCAAGATGTAGCTAAGTTGCATGGCACCCCTTGAGCTATTGTCTCATGACTCTCATATCATGATCCCACCTTCATGAGTAAGTTCTGACAAAAATATTTTAGAGACACAAGGAACCAAGCTGAAGGCTACATTTTGCTGTTGGGGACCAACAGCCTAGGCTGTTGAGAACGTTCTCAGACATGACACATTTACCCGTTTATTCCCTTGTTTGTCTTTTTAGTCAAAAGAAAATGAAGGGCAATTACTCTTTTACCCACACCCATGGAAACATGGCATGCCCAAAATCGGTCCCAACAGCCAAAGTTTTTTCCAAGCTGAAGAACTCAACCAATTATCATCCTCAATTAGATAGGCAAATTGAGGTTGTGGACAGATGCCTAGAAACCTATCTCCATTGTTTTGCTATGGAGCGACCTAAACGCCAGGTTAATTGGTTACCTTGGGTGGAGCAGTGGTACAATACAGCATACCACTCTGCCAATAGGGACAACTCCATTTTGGACACTCTATGGCAAGAATCCTCCTCCAGTATAACCCTATGAAAAGGAAACTCCAATGTGGCCTCAATATAAGAACAACTTTCAGCTAGAGAAGAAATCCTTCAGTCTCTGAAAATTCATTTGCAGCGGGCTCAACAACAGATGAAGAAGCATTATGATCGAAGGCAACGATCTTTGGAGCTACAAGTTCAGGATCAAGTTTACTTAAATTATATCCCTACCAACAGACCCTTATTTCAAAGAGAGCATGGCAGAAACTAGTTCCTAGATATTTCGAGCCTTATCCCATTCTTGAACAAGTGGGCCAGTAGTTTAATGTCTTGAGTTGCCTCCTATAGACAAGTTGCACCCTATCTTCCATATCCCACCCATGAATAAGAGTTTAGCAGCATTGACATCCCTTCCCCAGCCATGCCAGACTTCACCGGTGAAGGAACTCTCCAAGTAGAGCCACTGAAAATCATAGACTTTCAATGGATTAGAAATGGCCACAAGAAAAGATAATATGGAAGAACTTAACACCAGAGGACACAACATGGGAGCCTTACTTGCAGCTGCAAAATCAGTTTCCTCACATAGACCTTGAGGGCAAGGTCGAACTTGAGGGGGAAGCTGTTAGAACCTGCCCAATTTACCAGAAGGGACCGTACTATCCTACTCTTGGCCATGGGCCTATCACAAGACTACCCCATCAACAGGTGAATACCCGTTGAGCATGCAAGACATGCCAGAGTTAAATCTGAATCTAAGTTCGCTAATAAGATTAGGTCGGATGCCAAGCTGTTATCAGTCAATTGTACTCATGTTTAGTCCATGGGTGAGCTCTAAATATGCTCATCTCACTTATCTGAATGAGCAGTAACTTCCTTTCTCTCTCACTTTGCTGTTAGGAAGATTAAGCTTCCCTTAAAGTATGTTTTTGGTGTTGGGCCAACCATAACATTGCAACTAATATCTGAGAACACTCAGATAAGTAGTCATCCCCTTTCAATGTGTTTGGTTAAACCTTTAAAAGGCCTACTCATTTCTTAAATTCTGCTCTAGACAATGATTGGGACACCACTTATCACTTATCAGTGGTCACATAAGTGTTCATTATTGAAAACTTTCACAATGACAAGAATGCATCTCATTCCCATGTTTAAATAGAAGAAACTGCAATAGCCATTGTGATCAACACTCCAACATAAGAAGACTTCAGACATAAAAATTAACTCTTATCTCCAATAAAATCTAATTAGATTTCAGAGATACCAGACTTCAAAATTCAAAACACCTCAACCAAGTAGCAATCTAGGGTACTTGGTTAATGTCTTGACAGAGAATGCTAGTTTGTCTTGATTTTATAGCAGAATCAGTAATGCATCTTGATACTTGTCATATTATTTCCTTACTTATGAAGCATATATTCTATGGGATTGGAAGGTAATGCTGATGTTTTGAACCATAACGACCAACACAATTATGACAGCCACGAGAACAAGTAGTCAGATACATCAGGCATTAGATATATCTCATATTACATATAAACAAAAACAGACAACCATTGATGTCAAATGAAGAAGCCCCCCTATGTTAAGGGCCAATGTGGCATTTAATACAACAGGCATTGGATTAGATGCATGGTGCCAACTAAGCATTCAAGGAGGCTTATGCATGGGGATTGCATACCATAGAGAACAAAATGGAAGTTGATAATTCCTTGTAAGTTTGAAACTCACCGTTAGGCTCCCTGACTCTGTATTCTCAAATTCAATTAGTCGTTTCGTCAGTGTCGCTTCACATATATGTACAACACTTATCTGGTAAAAAGCGAAACATGTATCAATTCATATGAGAAGCTCAGTCTTAGACATTAGAGATCTTAGAAACCAATATTCTTGGGAATCTAGGTGAAAGCTGAGAGAGGATGAACAGTATGGAAACAAACATTTACATGCTTGAAAATACACAAAAAAAAAAAAAACATTTGTAATAATAGTTGGAACTAACAAATTTTCAACAAAGAAAAATGTTGCAACATCACTATTTTTAAAAAATTTCAAAGGTTAGGTCTGTATCCGGTGCACCCTTTCCAAGACCCCCAGACAGCTGGGACCAACACTGGGTAATGACATTTATCACTACTTACAAATTTTGATAAAACATGACATTTAGTCGATTAAAAAACAAATGACAAGCTTTAGAAGACAGTGGAGTTTAATATCTCACAGGTAGTTTGGATCAACACATTTTTTTTGTTTTGATCAGTAAAAAGAACTGAAAAATTTATTAAAATGTACTAAATTTTGAAAATACAATAAGTCCGGTCAATCCCCACAAGGTAAAATGTTACAATTGCACCCAAAACAATTGTTGCCTATTTACCCCTTGTTTTGCAAGAGTATCAGCCATCCCATTTGCAGTCCTTCTTACCCAATTGAAAGTAATGTTCAGCTCCTGTTTTATGCTTTCAATTTCCCTAAACTCATGCCAATAGATCCATGGCGTGAGCTGACTATTCTTTGCCCAAGAAATTATAAGATAAGCTTTGAATCCCCCTCTACTTCCAACTGTTGAAAGTTTGCTTGTTTGGAAAGTCTTAAGCCTTGAAGTAGTGCCATCAATTCTGCCTTTAATGAGTCTCCCAACCCCAAGGGACCTGAAAACATAGCCAAAACTTTCCCTGTGCAGTCTCTAAAAACTCCTCCAATACCTGCCTTTCCGGTGATTCCCATGGAGTTCCCATCAAAATTCAATTTTATTTTATTTGCTGCTGAGGTGACCATACCATAACCCTCTTTTCCTTTTCTCTTGAGCAGGCTGGCCACTTCAGACCATGCCCTTATGATGTCATTTACTGAAAAATTTTTGAAAGCATCAATTGTCTTTATCCAGTGAGCTGCTCTAATTAGAACAACATCACATAATTCCTCCTTTGATCTGCTTTTCTCAAAAAAATCTTCCATTTCTTTCCTCCCAAACAGTACATACCACTGCAGCCCGAATTGCTTTACACATAATTTTTCCCCTCTTTCTTGGTTGTCTTAAGAAGCTTCGGCTGAATAAGCACACTATATCCTGTGGAGATATCTACCTGCAGCCAAAGAGAGCAACAGAATTCCCAAATGCCAAGAACAAGAGAGAAAGACAGCAATAAATAAGATTGGGTTTCACCACTTGCACGGCAAAGGAAGCATATGTGGGGTGAGAGGCTAACATTTGGCCTTCTTTTCTGAAGCAAATCGCAGGTATTTATCTTTCCAAGACAAACTTCCCAACACAAAGCCTGGATTTTAGGGATAGGCTTGCTCCAAACTACTTTCACAGGAAATTTCTCCCCCAAGTTATTGGACTGTAAGAGAGCATTAAGGAAGGAAGCACAACTGCACAAGTGAAAAGAGGATAGGAAAGGCAAACTGAAGGGGGGTTGGATGGAGTTTACCCAGTAATTGGATGAGTCTCACATTCATTGTCCCTCACCCCTTCTAAACCCGAAATCCCAGTTAATCCTTGAATGAATCGAGGAAGCAAATCTCCAGACAGCTTGTTGTTTATAGTTCAACAAGGAAAAGAGGATAGGAAAGGCAAACTGAAGGGGGGTTTCACTTAGCCAAAGGTCTTCCCAAAACAATACCCGGGTCCCACTTCCCACATCATATCTTATATAATTGATAAAATATGGGTATACCACCTATATTGATTTCCAAGGAGACAGAGAGTTTGTTGAAGAGGCTACTTTTGCATCCCATCTGTTATTCGTTGTGCCATGAATGCTTGCAATTACCTTGTGCCAAAGTCTGACATTTTCCCTTGGAAATCTCCATAACCATTTCCCAAACAGTTTCTGTATTTCAGGGGGTTAGGTTCCCTATTCCAAACCTAGCCTGCTCCTTTGGTTTGCTAACTTGCTCCCACTTCACAAGATGATCCCTCTTTTCATCCCCTGGTTCCCAAAGGAAGTCTCTCATGATTTTCTCTAGTTGATTTGCAACTCTAACTGGAATTCCAAAGGTGGAAAGATAGTAAATAGGTAAATTGGCTAATGTTGCCCTAATCAATGTTATTCTTCCACCCAAAGAAATGTAATTTCTTTTCCAGAGATCAAGTTTTCCAGTGAACCTTTCTAAAATCGGTTTCCAAAAGACTTCTGACCTTGGATTTCCACCTAACCGAAGACCAAGATATTCCAAAGGCAAATTCCTTACCTCACACCCTAGAGTCTTTGCCAAAGATCTTAATTCTTCCTCCATATCAATCTTTGCTACACAACTCTTCCCCAAGCTTACTCTCAGATTAGAAACTGACTCAAAGGAAAAAATGATGTCCTTTATGCTCCTCAAGTCCTCAAGATTGCCTTCTTCACAGAACATGATTAAGTCATCAGCAAACTACAAGTGAGTGACTGCCATCTCGTGCCTACCTACCCTCCATCATCTAAGAACCCTCTCCTGGTCAACCTTGATAATCATCCTACTTAAACCATCTACTACTAGAGTAAAGAGGAAAGGGGATAAGGGGTCTCCATGTCTCAAACCTCGTTTGGCAGGAAAGAAATCTCTGTCTACAACATTTATTAAGATTGAATTAAGCAACCACCAATCCATTTCCTCCACCTCTCTCCAACCCCAATATTTTCTAAAATTTCAAGGATGAAGACCAATCCCCAAGATCATATGCCTTCTCTAAATCTAGCTTGCAAATTAGGCTTTTTCTTTCTTTCTCCTTTTCTCTGCTACGCACTCATTTGCCACCGGGATTTGGTCAATGATCTGTCTCCCTTCCACAAAAGCTCCTTGGAATTGAGAGATTACCAAAGGCAAAACTTTTTTAAATCTTTCAGCCAAGACCTTTGCTAAAATATTATAGAGACACCCACAAGGCTTATGGGTCTAAAATCCTTAGGTGTCTTGGCTAGCCTCTTTTTGGGGATCAAGGCAATGAAGGTTGAGTTTGCTCCTCAAGAGATTTCCCCTAGAACTCATTAAACACTTCCATTAGGTCATATTTTATAACTTCCCAACAGTCTTGGTAAAATTCCATCGAGAAACCATCCAGTCCTAGGGCTTTAGACCTTTCCATTGAGAAACCATCCAGTCCTCTGACACCTTTTCCCAAGATAATTCAGGAAGGTTTGATCTTTGATCCCCTGAGATAGCAAAGAAAGTCTTGAAGTGGTCCACAAGAATTGTGATTATCCCCTCCTCCCTTTTTATCTCATGACCATCCACTTCTAAGCTAGTTATGAGATTTTTCCTCCTTCCACTAGCTAGAGAGTGAAAGAACTTTGAATTGTCATCTCCCTCTGTCAACCATTTGCATCTAGATTTTTGCATCCAAGAAATTTCCTCTTTTCTCAAAAACTCCTCTAGCTCTAGCTTCAAATTTCTTCTATCCTCTCTTTCCTCCCCATTGATTTCTCTAGAAGCTTCCTTGCTATCCAACTCCACGATCCTTAATAAAATATTCTTCTTTGTTTCCTCCACTGTCGCAAACTGATTTTTGTTCCAAATATTGGTTTTCTCTTTCAGCTTTTTTAAGCATCTACAAAACCTTAACCCCTTCTTTGAACCATTTCCCCTGATTTCACCCCACCAAACCTTAACCTTCTCCACAAAGTTGGAATCTTCCAGCCACATGTTCTCAAATCTAAAAGCTGAGGGGCTCCATAGGAAAGATCCTGAGAAAGGCTAATAGGACAATGATCTAAAGTAACCCTAGGTAAAGCTCTAGAGGCTAAATTCTCCCACATCTCTTCCCAATCTAAAGAAAGAAAGGAATCTATCCAGCTTAGAGCAAGTCGGGGACTCTTAAAAATTTGACAAAGTGTACTCTACTTGTAACAAAGGGAGCTCCTTCAACCTAAAGCTATCCACAAAAGCATTTGAAATTCCTCACGCTTGTGGTGATTCTTTGGTTAGCTTTGTTTGTCTCTGAGGTAAATCTTATGACATTAAAATCACCTCCCAAACACCAACGGCCCCTCCCATAGACCTCTAACTGCTCCCAGTTCTTCCCTAAAAAGAGCCTTGTCTCTATAGGAATTTGGACCATAAACATTTGTTAGAGCCCACTCCCTTCCATCATTTAATATTTTGATTCTTATTGAAACTGAAAATTGCCCCACCAATTCTTCCAAACATTCCAACTCCTCATTTTTCCAAATAATCATAACTCCTCCTGAAGCTCCCCAACCCCAATACGGAGCATGCGACCAGCTCAAACCCCTAATTCCCTAAATACTTCTAATCCATCTCCTATCAATCTCTGGAAGTTTAGTTTCTTGAATCATAACCAAATCTGGTTTCTCCTGTTTAAGAGTATCTCTTATTATTATCCTCTTGGTGGCACACCCTAAACCTCTCACATTCCAGCTGATTACCTTCATTCTTGAACAAAAGTTTTACCCTAACCCTTTTTCAATTGCTCATTGTCCCTCTCCTTTCTTTCTTTTCTCCTACTTTCTTCCCTATCATAAACTATCTCACTCATCAACTTCTCCACTTCACTCTTCTTTCTTTACCTGGTCTTCCCTGCATTTTTATCCTTTCTCGAGTACACCTTTACCCCCCTCAGACTTTTAGCAATAGGCTTCCTTTTCTCCTTACCCTTACTGATTTTCGATATGGAGGGCTGATTAATATTCTCTAAGACACTATCTCTATTTCTGATTAAGTTTTCAGATCCTGCTCCTTCTGGTTGCTGCCTATCACTATCTGTGTTTTCAAAACTCTCTGTCCTTCTCAACCTTAGAAACCAAACCTGTTAAATTATCTAAAACCATCCCAAAGATTTTCTCCGCCTCATCATCATTGCCTCCATC